CGTGGTCAATTGCAACGTGGTCAATCGGGACCGTGGTCAATTGCAACGTGGTCAATCGGGACCGTGGTCAATTGCAACGTGGTCGATCGGGACCGTGGTCAATTGCAACGTGGTCGAGTGAAAATACTGGTCTGGTCGACGACGACGACGACGACCGGGACGAAGACGACAAAGACGTTTCTTAATCCAAAATTTAACAAATCTGACTTTTGCATTGCAATACCTCCACTCCTGGAGCACGTAGGAGAAAAGTAAAAACACTTTTATTATGCAAATCGTACCCAAGCTATCGATTAAGCGCAGTCTCAATTTCGTAGGATCAGCCGTTGTTGAGATCCGAAAAACTGAGGGCCCGTCAACTCGTGTACTCGCGTAAACTTACACGGTCGGTCTCGCACGCGTGTACTAGCTACGCTTACACTTGGCGCGAGACACTACCGTGTCTCGTGATATTGATCAATATGGCACGCAAAACATTTATAACTCGGATCAGAGTGGATTTCAATTAGAATTTCATTCCGGTCGTACCTTAGCACATAAAGGTGTAAAAAAGGTAGAATCTGTAGTACAGTCTATATCAGCAACCACACACAGTTATACCATACAGCCGACTATTTCAGCTGATGGTAGATTGTTGTCGCCTCTTTTTATTACATTGAAAGAAATTACAGGAACCTTTGGTCCGAGAGTGCAGGAAACATTATTTAAAGCGTCTAATATTTTTGTTACAGCTTCAAAATCAGGCAAATTAATATCAAATCATGTAAAAACTTGGCTGAAAGATGTCTTTTTTCCAAATGTCGGACCACGATCCGTACTATTATTAGATTCGTGGAGTGGACACTGTCCCAACATAATTTCAGAAACGAGACCAGATTCTGCGACAGATATTATTTTCCTAACTATTCCGGCCGGTACAACGGGAAAAATTCAGCCATTAGATGTATACGGCTTCCGATTATGGAAACATTTTATTAAACATTTCTCCGACACCATTATATTGTTAGATCTTGCAATAGATCTTCACGTAGGAAATAATATTCTGAAATTGCAATCATTAACACATAACCAATTTTCGTCACCCAGGTTTCAAAATTTATTTAAATTTGCGTGGTTTAAAAGTGGGTATATACAGAATAGACCGGAAGAATATCAAACACCAGGTGAATTTTGTTTCAAAGATCATTCCAGATTGAAATGCGATATATGTGATGGAATTTCTGTAATTATTTGTTCTTGGTGTAAAAAATCGCTTTGTATCACACATTTCTTCCATGAGCACCATCTATGTAATGAATATGTGCCATAAATGTAATACAAATTTTGAAATATTAAAATATATTATGTTGTTACTAATATTGTTTTAAATACATATTACATATGCAAATAAAATAAAAATCTGATTTCTTTAATTTACTAATTGCAGCTTTATTTTAATCTACTTTGATCTTGAATCCAATTTATAATCTTTTATTATATTTATTTTTATTTTGTTTATAACCTTCCATATAAATTAATTTTAGAGAAGAGGGGGTAAAGATGGCGAGGAGAAAAGAGGTTGGTGAAGGAAGGTGGTGAGAGAAGTGTCGGAAGTGAGGTGTAAAGGTGGAGTGTGAGGAAGGAGGAGGAAGTGAGAGTGAGAGGAACGAGAGAGGAACCAGAGGACATGGAGGCGAGAAGAATAGGCGGAAGGCGGAGGAGAAATCGAAGCGGAAAAGGTGAAGCGGCAATGAGTCGGCGATTCGGGACTAAGGAAGGAGGAGGAGGAGAGGGGAGCAGGGGAGAGAGAGCAGCATGGAGAAAGAAGAGGATTGGTGGAGAGAAGTGAGAGATCGAGAGCGGGCGCGAGAGATCGATTATGAAGAGAGAAAGGAGATTGGCTGGAGAGTTCGAGAGATCGATTCGGCAGGAGGAGTGTGTTCGAGCGCGAGCAGTCGAGCCAGCAGAAGAGGAGGAGGTGGAAGGGGAAGGGGCTTGGGAGTACGGAAGGCGAACGAGAGGGGCAGGCGGTGCAGGCGACAAGACGAGCGGTAAGACCACTGATCTCGTGACAGAGGCGTAAAGGAAGACGGAGGCAGATAGTGAAGGAAAGGTGCAAGAGAAGAAGATAGAAGAGAGAAAGTAGGAGAGGAGAAGAACGAAGGTGAGGTGAGAGAGACGGAGAGAGGAGGTAAGAAGGGAGGAGACGGAGGAGAGTAAGGCGAAGGGAGAGACGTTGAGAAAGTGAGGTTACGGGAGGAAGAGGAAAGAAGAAGGAGGGACGAGGGCAGAGGACGAGGAAGAGCTGAGGGGGAGAGAGAGGGACGAGCGGAGGAGAGAGGATAAAAGGAGATAGCAGAGGCGGCAGAGGGAAGGAGATGGACAGGGAGGAAGGAGAGGCGGCGAAAGGAGGAGAGAGAAGAGATGAGGAGGTACGAGACAGAGGGAGAGAGGAATGGGAAGAAGAGGTACTGATTCAGCTGAGGAGGACCCTGACGAGAGAGGTGAGAAGAATGAGAGAAGCGATGGAGAGGAAAGAGGAGAGAGAGAGGAGGGAGGAACAATGGAGAATGGAAAGATGGACAAGGGAGGAGAAGAGCAAGGAAAGGAGAGAGGGAGAAACGGAATTGGACGAGGAGTGGCAGGAGAAGGAAAAGGAGAAGAGGTCAAGGAAGGAGGAAAGCAAGGAAGGACCAAGTAGGGAAGTGGAGGGGAAGGAGACGAGAAGGAAGGAAGGAAGTAAATCAACAGAAGAAAGAAGAACGGAGGAGAAGGAGAGGGAGGGGGAAGGGGAGGAAAGGATAGGCAGGAGGAAGGTAAAAGGGGGAGGGATAGAGGAGGGGGGTGGGACGAGGGACGGGGAAGGGAAGGAGAGGAAACAGGGGAGAAAAGGGAGGTAGACAGAAGGAGAAGATTAGTATGGAGAGGAGTAGAGGGCAAAGACAGGGAGGAAAGGTTATGGAGGATTAGGAGAGCGGTAAAAAATACGATAGGTAGGGATATAGAGATAGGGGAGATAGTAGAGAGGATAGGTGAGAGAGGAAGAGTAGTGGTGATCACGGAGGTAGGGGAAGAGGAGGATAGAGAGGAGATGTTAGCGAAGGCAGACTTTTTAAGAGAAAAATGGGGGCTAAAAGTAGACGAAGATTTAAGCATGGAGGAGAGGAGGATAAGGTGGAAGATGGTGGAAAAGGCAAGAGTAGAGAGAAACAGGGGGAAAAGGGTGAGGGTGGAGAACAGGAGAATGTGGGTGGACGGGAGAGAATGGATATGGGAAAAGGGGGCAGGGGAGGGAGAAGGAGAGTGGAGAATCGGAGAGAGGGAAGGGAAAGGGAGGAGAGGAAAAGATGTGTACTAAGTTATGGATGTTGTAGGTAGGAAGAGGAAGAAGGAGTGAGACAGGAGTAAAGGAGGAGAGGATGCAGGAGGGAAAAGGAAACAGGAGGTGAGAGAATAGGAGGACGGAGGACGAGACAGAAGAAGGAGGAAAAGAAGAACAGGAGGAACGAGAAAAGGAGGACGGAGGATGAGGAAGAGAGAGAACGAGAGAGGAGAAGGAGAAAGAAGAAAGGACAGGAAATGGGAGAGGCAAAGGTGCGGGAAGGGCGGGAAGAGGGGCAGGACGGGTGGGTCAGGGACGAAGGGAGGGCGGGACCAAAGTATGTAAGGGTCGCTCATGGCCAGGTCGCGGAGGGGAAACGGAACGGATTTGTGAAGGGTTCGGGAACGCTCCCTTAAAAAGCGCCAATGTATTTCCAATTAGGAATAAATCACTACTACTACTACTACTACTATAAATTAATTTTATTTTCTTCTCAGCCAAATTTTCTAACACATATAACAGCTACATTCAGCGCAATACGATCGAATGATTTAAGCGCAAATTGACGTAGCAAATCTATGTTTTCATTATTGATTCACTTCGCTACTGATTTAAATTGATTGACTTTGATCTGATGTGCAATATTGCGAAAGATATCGGTGATATCTCATCTTTAATGTATTTTTTACTGCATAATGCGTCATACGACATATTTCATCGCAACTGAAAAGGAGTACTTAACGCAACACCTACCTACAGCGCGACGCCTATACCTCATAAATCTGATTTTCCCAAAAATCAAATCGTCGTATCATAATAAAAATATATATGGATATAATTGTCATTTGATGCTCTTAAACTTTTGCGTTGAAAAATTTTTTTTAATTTTTTAAAAATAATGGTGGGGTGGGGGTAAATTAAAAAATTTGAGATTGTTGAAAAATGTGATTACGTCATTGTGAAGACTATAAAAAACAATAAAACTTTTGTCTAAAACATTTTTCCATAAAACTTATATTTTCGAAGATATTCGTAAAAAATGAAAAAAATCCCTTATTTTCGAGGGGCTGTTTCACCCCCTAAACGTCGAGATAAGCCGATAAAAAAATATACGGGTCTAATACTTTTTATGCTCTACAACATATCCAAAGCGCATTTAAATCGGTGAGGGACACTTCCGACCGTTCCTTGTTAGAGCGCTCATGGTGGCCGAAGTTTGCATTATTTGCTGGAGTGCGACAATTATTGAAAAATGGAAAAATTGCGAAAGATATAAGATTTAGAGTCCATCATTTTTCTCGAAAACTATCACTCGTAGAGTAAAAATGAATAGGACATAAAATATATATTTTAAAGAGATCTACAACTTTTGTTTAAAACATTTTTCAAAATTTTAATATTTGTGTCTGAAAATTACATATAAATGGTCGACATTGTTTTTTTAATAACTTTTTAACAAACAACGAGCGACGGCTAAAACCTTCTGAGCGTTACTCAGGAGGGTAACCTTGACAACATATGTCAAGGTCAAGGTCATCAGAGCTGACTCCCCTATAGTGAACAATTACCAAAAATTTGTAGTATATTCTCACACAAATGATTTTTGAAACAATTTGTTTGTAGCTCACATGATTGGCAGCCTACAAAATATTCACGAATTTGCAGTGCACACTTCATAGGGAACCGTTCTTCTTCAATACAATCAAGTCCGAGTTACGTTCCGAGCATCTCGGGAAGAAAAAATCATGAATTAAGTTCTATCGAGAAATCTTCAATTCAACGGTAAATAAAAATTATAATTACTTTTTAGTAAAATTTAAATTATGATTTGTAAAATAAAATATAAATAAGTATTATTTTGTGTAGATTCAATAGGAGTATGCGTCGAAGACTGTGTAGTACATTAAGTATCAAGGACAATGTAAAGAAAGTTGACGATGTAAGAAATACTTTGGAGGAACCGCAACAGCAGTCGTGTTATTTTGATAAATTTATCGAAGACTCTGCACTATCATTCAAAGTTAACCAGGAGGTTCAGGTTTCGATGTTTGCAACTTCTGTGGGTTATCAAAATCTCTATGAAAGAACAGAGATGTTTATTTGCACTCAATATGTGTATAATGAGATTTGCCACGCACAAACTCAAGTATATATACCTGAAAACCGTGGCTTACAGATTGCTAAAAGAAGGCATGTGAGAGACAAACGTTGGCGGCCCTAGTATTATTCAGGTTGACAAGGCGATTGGTCCTGATACTCCTGATTTTAATATCACAAATTCGATAATGTGTACAATGGGTTTTCATGGCATATTGTCAATAACAAAGGAACAAGAAATGCTTGATCTTGGTGGTGTCACCTTATCCACTTTTCAATTGCTACTCAAATTATTACCCGATAACAAACCGAAGAAGATCTCTACAAAAAATCAGCTCCTTATATTTCTCTTGAAAATGAAAAGTGGAATGTCATTTTCAGCTATAGGCGTTTTATTTCGTATTCACAGAACAACCACATCTCGTATCTTTTATACTACTTTGAAATTTCTAAGAGTTGCTTGTAGTCGATTCATTTTTTGGCCTTGTCGAGAAGTAGTTCAAAATACTTTGCCCGAAATTTTCAAAACATCATACAAGGATTGCAGAGTAATTATTGATTGTACTGAAATAAAGGTGGAGCAACCAAGTACTGTAGAAAAACGGGTGTACTTGTACTCGCATTTTAAAAAATGCTTTACGGCAAAAATTCTTGTTGGATGCACTCCGGTGGTTTAATTTCATTTATCTCGAATTGTTATGGAGGACGGACTAGTGATAGTCAAATCACTATTGATTCAGGTATATTAGACTTGCTCGAACCTGGTGATGTTGTCCTCGCGGATAAAGGTTTTCCTGGAATTCAAACCGTTCTAGATGAAAATGGGAAAGGGGTTCTAGTTGTTATGCCGCCATTCCTACGCAATCTACAATTTTCGGCAGAAGATGTAGAGAAAACGTATAAAGTCGCGAAAGTAAGAATTCACATCGAAAGAAT